TCGTATCATGTTGGTGCACCTACACTCTTCAATGATATTTTTTTATTTAATAATGGTTAACAAAGAACACTAGTAATTTGGAAATTTTTTTGAATTGTTTTGAGTTGGTTTTCGATGCTGTTATTTCAAATCAAATTATTTAGACTTATTTATTCTAAAGAAAAAGATTTTGTATATCGCGAAAAGTTAATGCAACTTGCTTTATGGCACCATGCTTAGTTTATCTTAAGTAACTAGCTATCATTACATAATTTTGATGTGATTGTGAATCGGTCATTTCACACCAAATGAAAATCTGATATACTGGTGGTATCAAATTTTCCGAGGCCGAACTCGAATCCGGAACTAGTAATTGCTAGCCCACGTTCTTATCACGATGAGACTACGGTTCAAATCTTCTTTTATTTATGGTTCAAATATCAAGTAATATTTAAAAAGTTTAATAAACTAAGTTTTACCTGCATAAAGTACCAGCTTGCGGAAACAGCAAAATAAGTAAAGACTAATAACACAGCTGAAGGAGTATCGAGAATTTTCAGAAATGACATAGAATATATGACACCGTCTAAATCCATTTGCGGCGTGATAAACCAAAAACTTATTTCGTTTACTGGGTTCAAGTATCCTGATTTTCTCTGAATGATTCCAGGGTTTGTTATTTTCATAAATCATCAGTCAAGTGCAGTTTTATAATACCTGATTTTGATCGAGAATAGGCCTTAAATTTGCAGCTAGGTCAACCTCACCTCTCTCTACGTAACCTAATATCCCAGTAAAGTCATTGGTTTCTGGATCATAGTCTCCAAATCTTGATGAATTTGAAGGAAGGGCTAGGAATACTGGCTTGAAATTTGCCTAGTAAAATAAAGTTATTGGTTAATGTAAATATTGAAGAAGCTTTTTCAAGTCCAGTGCGAGTCAATGTAAATATTTATGCCAGTGGAGTTGTCCAATTGGCCAACTTACGGATAGGGACTATTTTTGTAGAAACATAATTGTAATGAATGAAAGAAATAAATTTGTTTCATAGATTATAATACTAAAAATTTGATATTAATGCTTTACTAGAATACTAGAATTTTTGCCAGTTCTTACCCTTTCAACAAGTATATGGGTCAATTCTGCGTCTAAATTTGTGTACTCTGTTCTTTTTCCACTTGTTTTATCTATGATAAGTTGAGAAACTGATTTTTTTTCAACTACAACAATTTTCAGTGGATATCTTTGCACATCCTTCAATCTTTCGTCAAGTTTTTGCACAATGATTTGTGCTAAATCCTTATCTCTTTGTGCAAATTCTGGAGAGAAACCGGTAATATGCGTATTGTATACTTTGCCTCTAAGACCAGTTTTTTCATTCCAATAAAATGGATTGTACATAGACACCAGGAAGAAATCAGGTTCTGTAAATTTACAGGAACTAAAACTCTTAAAAAAATATGGAAGTGCAAACTTTTTCTTCAGTATAAAAATATATCAGAGTGATGATCGAAATTATGCAAACTTTATAAAAAATAATGTAAATTAGTGCTCGACAAAATGACTAATATAGTAAATAAATTCATAATAGTAGATTATGCACCTCAAATTAGATTGCAATGCTGCACGTATTGCTTAGGTAGCATGGCAAGAAAATTGGTAACAAATCCTAATTAATTAATTAACTTCAATATCGATGTTTTATTTATAATGAGTAAATAGCTGCACTTAATGATATTTATATTAATCAATGTAATATTAATTATATACCTTTCCAATCATCATCAGTAACTTCTAAACGGTTTGTGGCATGATTTTGCAAATTGTATTGTTTTTTAACTAAAAATGCAATCACATTCAGCATTTGATATTTTATCCATGACATCTTAATTAAATACTCTAAAAATTGAAAATAAATGCATAACTTGAAATAAATGAATTTGCTGGAAAATACATATTTCTCTCACATGTTGCAAAAGATTATTATTATTATTATGTTTGCTGATTATCACAAGATTATAAGCATTATTTTGGATATTTAAAGGAAGATATAGAATTTGTAGAAATTATTGAAATTAAAAAAAAAAATAAGGTAGGCTGATTACCAATCTGATAACTTTGTCCACTAGTCTGAAGAAATATAGTTTTGGCTTTTGGATTCAACATAACACTCTGATGCATTCTGAACATTGTGCAAGCTAACATTTCACAAATGAAGATGTAACAATTTTTATCACTTGGTTTATATTCGGCAAGGTATTCATCATATCCATCTACTATAATATCTAAATTTCTATAAAATACATATTTTTATAATATTTTTTGTCTTTGTAAATACAGCAACTAATAAAAACAAATTAGAATAGAATCAGTTAAATATGAAACTGGAACAAAACTTACAGAGGATCCATATAATAAACTATAGGTATAGCTAATCTGGTTTGAGCACATTTCATAATTTCTTCAGCTATTTGCTTAGAACCATCTTCGATACCCACAAGAGTTATCAGATGCTGATCCTGAAGAATAACGAATTCAGAGTATTACTTATAGTCATAGTTAAAAAAAAACTTATCAAACAGTTTTTGATATGAACTGTTAATTGATAAATTAATTATCATTAAGTATAGAAAGGAACTAGTTTTTTCGGAATAATCTGGTAACATCCGATCCGGAATCAACAAGATGATTTTTATTTATATTTTTTATGGAGAGCAAGTTGATTTTGAGACAATTGTTAAAAATGTTATTGTGTGTGGGTTAAAATCTTTTGATGAAATTACACAGAGTGTTACTTCACATCTTTAAACCAATAGTAAAATTTATACTTGTTGCATTCCTATAATATTTAGTGATAAACATGTTTGTATATTTTGTATATATTTGCATATAAAAAGGTTTTGCAACTTGTGTTTAAAGCAAATATGTTATCCATTACCAGTTTGAAATATGAATTACCTCAAGAAAGGGATATGATATACCCCAAAATGTAGCAGCATCTTTTGTGCAAGTATTTGCGCTAAACACAATTTTTATAAACATCGAGTAAATTTTAAAAATTAAATAAATTATTAATAAGAAATTATTCATGGCTTCAGTTATGGAGATATATAATTACATTTATATATTTATTATTTACATTTATATACTTATTTATAAGCAATATTTATATCTTTTTAAAAATAGTTAATTACTTATATAATTTAAAAATAATTACTTATATTGAAAGAATCGGAAAATTTCAACCATTTAAAAAGCAATTTATTTTATGAGATTAAAAAATACCAGCAACTGTCTGAAATTGTGAAATGATATAAATAGTACAAATATATTATTCAAATAATAACTTTTAACGCTATTCTTATAATTATAGGTTCTCCTGAAATCATAATGGATACAAATACTTTATTTGGTACATTTTAGTTTTGTGATAACGTACTTATAATTTAATCGATTTATGTTGAGTGAAAGCAATTATGAATAATAAATAACGCATAAAAACAGTCGAACATAGGAAACATTGAGTCCTTTTTCCAAACTATATTTTATTCATTTTATTGACATTTGAACTTACGGGCATAATACAAAACGCAATATCTATAAGACCATGGTATGACGAGTTTACTGAATGTCGATCGTTTTTTTCTTCAATATGTAGATTAAGATTGAACCATACATACACTCCGTTTCACCTGAGTAGAATTGGGATCAATACCGATCCCAATTGCTATTGCTTGGGTGGAGCGACTAGGGCGGACGCTGAGCACGCCAAATTGGAGTGCAAAAAATGGGAAAAAGGTAGACAAGAACTATGGAGTGAGATTGTAAGGAAAAAAATAGTAAGGAAAAGATTCGTCATTCGATGTCATGTCGATGAGATCATTTCTAAACGGGTCGATTGTGATTGATTGTCGTGTCGTGTGGGTATGATTGTTTCCAGTGAATAATTACAGTGCAAATGATAAAACAAATTAATAATCTGACGTGTAAGAAACGTAAGTTTATTAAAGTAATTTGAATTATTCGAGGTTACTATGTATTTTCGAGGTTTTTATTAATTAATTATTTTTATAGGCAAGACAGATACTACAGCTGCTTAAAGAATAAGACTGTATCGCCAGCGAAAAAGCAAAAAAAACAAGCAGTCAATGAATATATGTTAATTTTAACTACATGAAGTTCTTCAAACACAATTACATGATAAGTGAAATTTCCTTATGCAGCATAAAAATTACAGCTGTCCACTGTGTGCACGAATATTATAGAATCTATTAATCGGCAATTACTTTATTTCTCTAATAAAGGTTTAAGTTTTAATTGCCCTAAATGCTAGTTACAATGACAAACCGATCATGTTATATTTGAAGTATGATTTGAATTTTATTATTGTTTTCAAATATTATAAATATTTTTAATGCTATTATAAATATATAATATAGAAGTTATCATTATATAAATATGTATGACATTATAATAAATGTGTGCATCAGCACTGTTACCATATGGCAATATACTTAATACATTTATTTTGTTTTTAACTTAAATGCCACCTTATGCAATAGCAAAAAAGTTTTACTTCAATTGCGTGTGAACCTTACGCGTACTCTTGTTTTTATCTATGGGTAAAAGATTGATGAATTCAGTATTTTTCGATTTTATCTGATTAAAAGTTGTATACGCAAAAGCGTGTCTTTTCAAATCCAATACCTCTGTAGAGTTTTGTAAGAAATTACATAAGTTTGTCGTTAGTTTTCTGACATTATTTATTAAGTTTTTGATGATTATAATTTCATTTTATTAATTTTAATAATTCAGAAAAAAAACGCACGCAGTGTTAACAATTTATGCTTATTTATCTATGGAGTTAACGTAATTTTAAATACTAACGAAATGTTTTTATCTATGCCATGTTGGTATGATTGTGAATCGGTTAACCAACGGCTTGTAACCAAGTTCACATGGGAGTATATGAGAATTCGTTGACAGATTCAATCATAACGGGCTTTTAACTCTTAGCCACTTCTTAGGGCCCCAAGGCGTCAATTTATGTAGAAGAAATACATTTTTGTGTCTTAATCAATTTTTCATAGTTGAATATTAATATATTGTGCAAAACAATCACTTTATGTTAAGTATAATTTGCTTTTTCGGCTACAAGTAAGTTTTAACCGTTCCTCTTTGTTGACTTTTTAACAAATCAATCGAAATGTCAACGAAACGCAAACTAATAATTCCTAAAAGAGTAAGTGATATTGAAGAATTGTATTCACATATAGAAGACCCTGATGAGAAAGAATTTTTGTTGCATATGGGAGTCGATATGATGGAGCATGAGGCATTCAATAATCCGTAAGTGTTGTAAATTAATTTTCACACATTTTAACTAAAATATTTAGAATTAAAATTGTTTAACTTGTTTCCATATATTTCAGTGATTACAAATATAATTGTAAAGACTTTGAACTAGGAAATCCTTTAGGAAAAGGAAAATTTGGTAGGGTATATTTAGCTCGAGAAAAAAAGACAAAATATCTTGTCGCATTGAAAACCCTATTCAAATCAGAAATTAAAGCAGCAAAAGTTGAACGTCAGGTGCTTCGTGAAATTGAGATTCAAAGTAAATTGAAGTAAGTGTAATTTTAGTTATTATGGCAGAAACTATAAATTTTGGTAATAAAAGGTTTAATACAAAGATTATGTAAAAGCAACTCATATTTCATTATTTTATTTTTTAAGACTTTTGAGGTTTTGAAAATGGATATAAATAGGATCTGATCAATGGCATTCATTGTTGTTTGCTTAATTCTTTTATTATTATTATTATTATTCTTTTTATTAAATAGATATGTTTTAAAGATTGGTTTATGTGAATGAATCACTATTTATAACAATTTACATAGCTATATGTATGAGTGTATATATATATATATCCAAAATAACAAATGTTTTGTACAGACATCCAAATATTCTGCGGCTTCTCACATGGTTTCATGATGAAAAGAGGATTTATTTAGCACTGGAATTAGCTGGTCAAGGTGAATTATATAGACATTTGAAGAACTCTCCCCATGGAAGATTCAACGAAATATTGTCTGCTAAATATACTTTCCAAGTGAGTTAAATGTAATTAGATGTGGAAACTGATTTGGATCTTAATATCCCTAACAGTGAAAATTTTACAAATAGAATATTTTTAAAGCAATACTGGTTTTCTTATAGGTTGCAGATGCCCTTCATTACTGCCATTTAAATGATGTGATACATAGAGATATAAAGCCAGAAAATTTGCTTTTAACTTATGATGGTGATGTGAAACTTGCTGATTTTGGCTGGAGCTGCCATGCACCACGTAGCAAGTGAGTCTATTTAAAATTATTAGAATGCTTGTTTTGTAGAAATTAGATATTTACTGCATATAATATTTGTTAATTTTATTCGTATAATTGTTTTTTCTTTGCAATTAAATTTTATTATAAATGCGATTTTAATATTACTTTCAAAGCAAGAACATAATATTTTCTTTTCAGCAAAATCTTTGTTTGTTTAACACAAGAAGACGTTAATCATACTTCTAGTTCTAATTCATACTTTTATCAAATTTAAATTATTATTAATAATATTATACCCACATGCTTTATGCTTATTTTGCAGGCGTACCACACTTTGTGGAACCTTGGATTATCTTCCCCCTGAGATGGTGTACAACTGTGTCTACGATGAAAGTGTGGATGTTTGGTGTTTAGGAATTCTCTGCTATGAGTTTTTAGTTGGAAAACCACCATTTGAAAGTGAAAATGCAAAACAAACTTATGAAAAGATTAAGAAGTCACCAGTGCAATTTCCCAGTTATTTATCAGCTGGGTCAAAGGATTTAATTAGTAAACTGATCAGACGGAGATCTGATAACAGAATAAGCTTACCTTTGGTGATGCAACACCCTTGGCTGGTAGAATTGTATGTAAGCAAAATAAGAAGATAAGTTTTCAGTTGACATTTCATCATGCTGCTTTGCATTGACTTTTTTTAACAATATTGTTACATTGTTTTATTTATTTATATGCAAATATGTTTAACATTCAATTATATTAAGGTTTTTAAATGTGACGAGTTGAATTTTGTATAGCCAACCAAACAATTATTTTAATATAATATTATAACTTTGAAGCGTTTGAACATTTTTTAGATTCAATGTATAAGTAATTGTTTAATTTTTTATAGATGTTTTTTTTTTCTTATTAAGTATCATATTCATTGGCTATTTAAAATTAGTTACAGTTGCTAACCTTTTTCTTCATCTATTGGCAATATGATTGAAAGGTTTAATTAGATAACAATTATAGAAAAAAAATAGAAATATGATATGATAATATTATGAATGAATTTTGAGAGCACTAGTTGAATCTTAATTTTAAGTAATGGTTTTGTAAGATATAAATTGGCTTAACTTTAAATAAATAATTTTTTACAAGGTTATTATCAAGAAATTTCATTTAAATAATATCATTCTGCCTACCACTTGTCTAGCTAAGGATCTTCACATACACTTTTTCTTGAACATTTGTACAATACACACACACACAATTCACTTGTATTTCTAGGAAATATTTTAAAAGCAATATCTACATTTTCAATATGTATTTTGTTAGAAAAAAATGCAACCATCTGATCTGTAAATAAATACATAAGAATATGAGAGACTGATAAAAATAGTTTTTAAACTTCTTCAAAGTAATATTTATTAATAAAATATATTAATAAGAATTATGTTAACAGTTATAATTCTATGGAATTTTATTATATGCAAAAAGGTTGTCATCTATTGTAGATGGAATGGAGGCATCTTAATTATCACAGCTTATTGGCAGGTTTAGGACGATGAGTATCAACAGCATCAATAGAGAAATTTATATACTCCATTCTGCATCCATATGCTACAGGTGTCAACTTTATTATTGTATGTAGAGGTACTTTCAGGTAAGGCAGTTCGTCTAAAAAATAATTAGCCCTGAGTATTTCAAAATACATAGGAATTTATATTACTGGATAGTAGCTGTCCATCTAAATGAAACAGACATAATTCTCATTCACCTGCAGATTTATCCAGAAAGTATGCCAAAAGACATCTCAATACAGCCTGATGCGAAACTACTAATACATTCCCTTGACGTTCCAGTTCCATGATGACAGGTTCTAAGCGAGCAACCAAATCTTCATAACTTTCACCTCTTGGATAGCGGTAAGCAAATTTATTCGCATCTCTAGAAGCAAACTCTTCAGGATACTTAGCTTGAATTTCTGCATAGGTCATTTCTTCACATATACCCTGATGATCAAAATAATATTGAACTCTTTATTACATTCTCATAATAATAATTATTATTATTATTAAATGTATATTTAAACATGTTCTAAAACTAATAAAGAATAAGTTCAATGAAATCAATTCTTAACCCTTAAAGTGTTTGAAACTGTTTCAAAGTATTCAGAATATTGAAAAATATTGAGAAGTTGATAATCAACAAAATATATTTTATTGATTCAAAATGAGTTCTAATTCGGAATATCCAGAGGTTTGTACACTAAATTTTGTTTTGCTATATCATTTAACCAGAGATTTTTTTTACTGAAAAGTAATATCAATTTAAAGAACAAATAAATGGTAAAGAACACTAATTTGAACAAATTTGTGACTAAATTTCATATATATCTATAGTACTATTTTGATTGCACAGTGGCTAAAGCAAATATGAAGTGATTTACTTATTTGTTTTCCTCAAGAAACTTTTACTGCAAGCCAAAATTATAAATTTTAATAATAATAAAATAGATTTTTATGCTTACTGCATCAAGCTCATTTAACGCCTTCCATCGCTCTTGTGGTGCTGGAACGCTACTGACAGTTTGAATTGTACGTTTCATCCATGATGTCCAAACACGTAAACCGTCTATCTAAAAACAATAAATATTAATATATAAATTATTCTGAAATATATATTCTGAAAACTTCATCAAACTAATAATTTAAACATTTCAACAAAAATTAGTCATTCAGTAAAATATTTCTAGTGATTGAAGGATTCATATCAATCATAGACTACTATATTAATATAATTTAATATATATTATTATATTAATATTTAATATATTAATATAATATTAACCTTCATTCATATTGAATAACTGGAGCTAATATAATATATGCAGTTAAATTTGCTTTAAAATATAAATGTAAAAGTAGATATAAATACGTTTTTTTTTAAAGGATAAGGAATAAAAACTTATTAGATATTATATTTAATCATTATACCATAGTTAATTATCAACATTGATTTCAATCTGGTGTCCTTTGTTATTTTTATTGTTAAAAGGTATGATAAGTACAAAATAACAAATCTGTAATCTCTATAAGGTTTTCAACCTCACTATATTTAATTTTTAAATTAATTTTAATATAATTATCACTTACATTTTGTTCGGTAATGTAAGCACCCAATGCCGCAGCATACTTTTCGCCTCTTTCACTTAAATCAGAATCTCCTCCAATACGTCCTTGCAAATTTTGTTTACTTTCTCCATGCTAAAAAGGCACACATAATGTATGTTAAAATCTATTTCTGATTATATTATGTTATTCATAATATATTTACTCTTGTCAAATATATAGTCCTTGGAGTGATATGTATATTCATCAAATAATAAACAATTCTAGATTGAATGTGCCCTTCATGTTTATGAACTATTACTTTTTCTCCTGTATTATATATTTTCATGAATGATAAATGCCCTTCTGTAGTTTCATCTAAAATGTCATATCTGTAAAATATCATTTATTATCAGAAGCCTGTTTGATAATTTAATTTTTCCTTCATTAAATTATTTACCTTTCTTTATAATGCTCAATTCTCTTCATGAAGTCCTCTAGAGCTGATTCAGTGTTCATGTTTATGTAATCGGGGCTGCTAACTTTTACTTCCTGCAGTTTATAATTTAGTTTACCTTCTATTTATATTTGCATTATATACTTGATACATTTATCTTACCATTACATTCTGCTCTACTATTTGAGGATCATCACAAAGTGACTCTACAAAGAACAACTTAAATTTCATTTTTCTCACAACAATATCATATATCATCTCTCTTCTATCTATAGTGGAATTCGTAGCATCAAAGACCTATAATAGAAATATATTATAAAAGACATTATATATATATATATATATATATATATATATATGTATATAACATTTAAGAAATTATCAAATTGATTATTATATCAATTAATCATGAATCTGATTTTGAAATACAACAAGTTTTCATTCTCCCATACAAAATTGCTTGTGAAGTTTTACATGATTACAAAAAAAAAAAATCATTTGCTCTTCAGAACTCAATAATCATTATTGTGGTGTGATTTATAGAATACATAATAAAAAATAATTTGTGATATTATTGCTTTACTATCTGTATGATTTAAATTAAAAAAAATAGTATATTACACTATTAAACTAAAATCTAGTATTTTACTATTACACTAATTATTAATTGCATTATTTATTTATTAATAAAATAGAAAATTTGTTTCTCTGACATAAAGAAATTAAATTGAAATACAATGGAAATCAATTCCTATAATTTGAAGCAAATTCTTAATTTTGCATAATCCAAAATGATATATTAATTTGTGATATGCTAGTAAGACTATCTGAACTAGATATTCAATAATTCAAATAGATTATATAGATTGAAAAAATTGATCATGAATTACAAATATTTAAATAAATTGTCTTTAATTACAAGAATGTAACAAAAAATTACTCACTGCTACTTCTCCACCATTATCAAGCCAGTTGCAAGCATCTTTTAAAGCATCTTCAGCACATTTTGCTCGAATTGCCATGGCTTGTTCATTGTCTTGCCGGAAAAAATCATGACTCTTATATTCACTTGTAGCATGTCTTCTATATTCACCGAGATTGAAAACTAAACATGATAAAATAATCTTATAAAAAGGAATATCAGAATATCATAGATATAAAGTATGTTTAACATGTTTGGAGAGAGTAAAAGTTTCAGCAAGGTAGAAAAATTTACAGTCATTTTATTTTTAAATTGGTTGTGATATCTGAGACTTGATTGAACACCATTTGTAAGAGTAGTCAGCCTACCTAAACAATATGAGAATGTAATGCTTGCTTAATATATTCTCATTATATTGGGAGTTTGATTATCATATTTTAATCTTCATATATGATGAATGCAATAGCTTCCACATCATTCTCCATCGCAATGAAAATGAATGCTATGCCATATTAAGGTTTAAGCATCTTTACTTTCACCATTGTATAGTAATTATTAAAGATCCATGTTTATTACAAATTATACTACCTTTTGTGTTAATGCCTATCCAGTTTAAATATCTTGAAAGTTTTTTAGCTATATAAGTTTTTCCTCTTGCAGGCAATCCAACCATTGCAATAACATGCGGACTGTTGACATAATTCACTCTTTCTCCTGAAAGAAAAAACAAAGAAAATGTGAATGCAAGTTAAATTCACCAGGAGAAACCAAAAGTAATTATATTATTATTAACTTTGGCTATGATTAACCATTTTTAATGAATTTATTATGGTAAATAAATGTCACTTGTCAACTATGGTAAACAAGAATGTTGTTAACTAAGGATTAAATTAATCCCTTGATGTAAAATTAGAGTTAGTGCTGATAACGAAATTAAACTATATTGTCATAAAACGAAAACTAGTAAAAATAGCTAAATATATGTAAAATAACCGACATATTTGTAAAATGCTATGTGTTATTATTGAGTTCAGTTCAAACAAATTATTAGAGCATGTAATTCAATTTACCTATCACAACAATTGGAAATTGAAACAAAGACTTTCGGCTATTAAACATGATTATTAATTCATAAAAACTATTAAAATGGAATGTTTAAACTAATATAATTTTACTGATTTCATTAACTATTCAGCACTTATTAAAATATTTTTATAAACTAACATTTTGACCTTGACGTTTTTACTACGAATAGAGGACGACATTTTGCCACATGGCTAGATAAGGTTAACTTCTAAATAGGTCAACTTTTATCTTGTTAA